TTTTTATTAAGAAATCTTTATTGATCTTTTGATCTGAAGAGATCATGTAAGTTAATATTTATTCAATTATTTGTTTTATTGAATTTCATCGTTACACGAATATTTCGCGACTTCAAGGATTCTTGACTTGTAGAATACATTAAGAATGGAGAAAATGTACTGGTGATTTGTTATGACTGAAGCATTCCATGAAAAAGCATTGCATTTATTTCGTTCCTAAACGATGAAACGTACCAAAGATTAATTTTTTCAACAACTCTTTTATTTGGACAAAAGAGCTTTCCGTTACAATGAGAAACGATAATTTATTAATTACAAAGATGCGTAAGTGCGCATAAAAAAAAATAGGCGAATGGACGATCGACTGTTTTGTTACGAATGATGGTTAGCACTTTCTACTTTAATCAACGTCTAGCTACTGCTAATCGATTACCTGTTACTGTAACTTGTCTTATTACGTAGATATTCTCACGACACGCGGTGCAATCTTCAAGTTAGTCGGGCATTTTGCAAAAATGTATGTCACTTCAACACTACACAATTATATATCATAATAAAAGATAATTAAAAAAAAATAATAATAAAACGACTCTACAAAAATCTACTCAAATAATATATTATTTTCGATATCGAAAAAATTGATAATATTTAAGAGCTGCATTTTTTGCAAAGTATAAATATTGTCCGAGTAGCATGATCGTCGAATGGCGTGTAAGGTGTCAAAGTACGACGAGAATCGTACTGTATTTTGCATATCTCCCGCACCTGTCGTTGGAAAAAAGGGCAAACACAACCCTAAAAACGTCAAATACAACCCCTAAAGTTGCAACTGTGACCAAAAATTGTAAATAGCACGTAGACAGTATCATATAGTTTAAGCGTATAAATATATACATACACAAATATGGATATAAATATGAATGAATCGAAGCTATAAATATTATAAATAGACGCGGGCACACATACCCACACACATGTGTGCTGCACAAAGTCGTTTCGACTAATGGCGGCTCGCTCGTCGTGGCCTCCATCAAAAAGTTATTATATTCTTCCCTTTTTCTCGCTATCGAAGTTTTTATTGTTGTACCATTAATATCATTATGTAATTATTGTAATTAGAGACTCGCTATTAATATTATTGTCATTATTATTATTATTAACAATAAACGCTGTTACCATTTGTAAACGCTTCTTCTGTCTAGCAATTTCTTTCCCTCTCTCAATTATTTAATATCTTTTAATCAAATTAGTTTTTTATTATTTATTTTATTGCAAATTGTAAATACGAAATAAAATACAAGTTTTGTTAAATATATCGTCGTTATGAGTGTTAAAAAAATGTATTACGAATCAAAATTTAAATAAAAAAGTAATAAAATAATTACGTTACAATATATACGCATAGTGCGTACTTTAATTAAGATAATCGTCTGCTTTTCATCCGAATCGATAGCTCTATTAATTAAGGTTGCTGAATCTGGCACTGCTGGATCGTGATCGTTCCAGCTTCACTCGCTGCAATTCAGGGTTAAACGGCCGTGCCAATTAAGCAGACTACCCCGAAGAACCCCTTAACGGCCCAATATGTTTTCTGCCGAGTTTCCCTGGACTTGGCCGTTCTCTCCCTCTCCATCTCATTTTCGCGCTCATTATTTTGTCAGGGATGTACGAGTGCGATGTTGGAGTGGACGTGAGATTTTCCGTAGGCTCGTCTATAGCTTCCATCGTCTATACCAATCGTGTAAAACGTCGCGAGAAATAAAGGATAAGGGACGGCAAAAAAGAAAAGAAAGATAAAGTACATCGAAAAATTTATCTGTGAAAGAGATAGCGAGAAAAAGAGAGAGAGAAAGAGGAAGGACATTACAGCACAGACTGCACGACACCATGACGCAGCCACGGGAGCAGATTGGACAGTTATTGCATTCTGGGTAAGATTAATTGATATGGGGACCGGTAGGTGGGCCGAAGGGCGCGCGGCTACGTCGGCGCTTAAACCTTGTCTCAGGCTACGCGAGCTGGGGATGAGAGAGCGGTGATTAACCGATTGCACCATGAACCAAGTGGAATCGAAAGCCACCCCTCCTACGTTCTTCCTAATAACCATTGAGTAATAGAGAGTCTCTCATTATTAAATAGCGTTGGACCGCGAATATGTCGCGACTTGTATATCGTAAATCAGACATTTGTAATTTGGTGCGTTTACATATCCTTATTCTTAATCACATTATTCACAAATATATCCGGAGTAAAAATTTTAGTTCATTATATATCTAATTTCTAAAAATTGTCATTAAAAGATTCAAATGTTAAATTTTTTTCTACAACGCTAATACGACGATAATAAAGACAATAAGTTGGATCAACATATTCAACTTAAATTTGCGAAGTAACGCGCGGTCATAATATTCCGTATCTCCCTGTCGCGCGGTACCAATCGCAACGATCCTTGGCTATCGCAATTTTCGCGACAGCATTATCGCTTTAGTGGCCATGTACCGTTTCCGTATTGCCTGCGATTCTCGTTATATCCGCAACGTAGAAAAGCCGTTCAGAATCGCATCGTCTCGCACAGCTGCCGGTTATGGAACGTTCGAATACGTTTTAGGGGACAACTCCATACACTCGCCGTATGCGGATACACCTTATGACTATTAAGGTATTCACGGCCCCTCGGAGGACGCCCTACTTTGAAATATGGCAACTCGGGTCACCGCCGGTGTATACCGTCAGTCGGAGATATCCTCCCCCTTTCCTCCTTTCCAATCCCCTCTTTCTATCGTACACGAGCACCGTTACCTTTTTCGTATTTCTTTTCCAGTTTTCTTGCCGAGCATACACAGGGATACGGGCTTGGCAGAGGAAAACCGCGAATCTACCTTATACCACCTCGCGGTTTTCCATATTATTTATAAGCCCCAACCTGCGCGTTGCCATCCCTCTGTCCCTCGCAATAACTCGGTCCGGATCCGCGAACGCGCGAGCGTGTCGCCAAATTGGTGGAAACTGAGGACGTCGTAACCTGTCCTGGTCTGTGACAACTTTGAGTGATATAGCGACGCGAGGATCCGACGTACAGATGTTGAAAAGAAAATATGATTGCTCAATAGTTTTTTAGGGGTGATCTCTACGTTGCAAAGACGCGCGTCATAATCGATCGTCAATGAAAAATACCGATCAGAGATCAAATATTATTCTTTATCAAGATAATGTTTATTTAAAGCAATGTATGAGAATCGGTTTAGAGAAAAATATTATAATTTTATATCAAATTTTTTACACGTCATATTTATTTAATTAAACTATCTTTCACACGCATCAATATTAATCAATTTAAGAGTCCACGAACAATATGCTCCGCCAATTTATATTATGACACGTGCGTGATTATTTCTAATTTAATTTAACAATTCTTTTAAATTGAAAATGATCAGAAAATGATGAGTGCAAATTATATATCACAGAAAAAAGATGCTCATCGTATATATTGTCGGATTGTCTCAGTCCATCATATAGTTATATCCTTGCGAACAAATATATTATTTCTGTATTTATTATTATTTGCGAAATATTATATACTTTTGCAACCCCACAACGCTGTGCACTTTTTTATTCGTTATTTCTCTACGCGTCGAGTTTCCAGGCCAACGAATGACCGGATACCAAAATCTCATTGCGTGGATTTGCATGTCAGTCGCATTTGCGCGGGTCAGTCGGATTAAAAAACGTCGATGTCCAATTATCGTCGGACATTGCGCGGCTAATGGAATTTTTGAGAGGGAGATTAGGGGACTCGCGCGGTGTTCATGCAATTTTCGTGCGTTGCGTGCCGCGCGTTAATTCGTTCCACGCGCGGATCGTGACGGAGATATGTTCCTTCCGTTGACGGGAACGTACAGGAACAAGTGTAATTTCGCTTACAATCACTTGTAGTTAGAGTTATATAGGTCGGATAATAACTAATTCGACTAAGCGAGCACGCTTCCTTGTCAATACGGCTGATGTAATACATATTCCATTGAATATGCTTGGCTCGGAAATTATCAGACATTTACAAAACCTGCATTTTCTATTCCGCTGGTCGCGATAATGAGATGTGAGATAATTTCTCCCTATGTTCCTTTTTTTCTTTTCCGTAAATAGCACGACCTTCGATCAATCAGACGACGAGCTGTCACAGATGCGGTCATTTGTCAGTAGGCTCCTTTAATAACGAGGCGACTCTCTCTTTCTTCCGTGTATCGTGCGACTTTAAACAAATAGCTCGGCATGGAAAGCGGAAAGAGGAAAACAAATGATCGTTTACGCCTGTGAGGAAGAAAAGAGCACGTCGCGCGTTCCGGCGATCAATCAAGCGTCTCCAGCCGGACTGACTTAATACAGTCAGAGATCGATTGAATTCCGGCTTGTATGGGTTCGTACACGACATTGTGGATATTCATAATGGATCATTCGTAATACGAAATGTCGCAATATCAAAAAAAGAATGTTAAATTTGTGTATAGAGGATCTATGATTCAGATAAGCGTCAGATTGGATTAAGTTGAGAGATACAGTCTGTAAATACATATCTGTAAAATAAAAGTTAGGATCGGTTCAGGAATCAGAAAAATTTAAGTAAAGATTTTTATAATAAAATATTTTTTCGCCGAAAAAAAAGATCAATCTGAAATTGTGCGATTACAGATTTCGCAGATAAAAGAAAAGAGCAGAATAAAATAGGCTATATACCGTGACAATGTTATTTCCAGCTGGCCGTAAAGTCTCCGAGTAAGTCTTCGGAAATCAACGAAAACTCACGAATAGACTTGGTGATCCACACGAAGGCGATGACGACGTTCCCATGCTCGGAAATTATCAGACATTTACAAAACCTGCATTTTCTATTCCGCTGGTCGCGATAATGAGATATGAGATAATTTCTCCCTATGTTCCTTTTTTCTTTTTCGTAAATAGCACGACCTTCGATCAATCAGACGACGAGCTGTCACAGATGCGGTCATTTGTCAGTAGGCTCCTTTAATAACGAGGCGACTCTCTCTTTCTTCCGTGTATCGTGCGACTTTAAACAAATAGCTCGGCATGGAAAGCGGAAAGAGGAAAACAAATGATCGTTTACGCCTGTGAGGAAGAAAAGAGCACGTCGCGCGTTCCGGCGATCAATCAAGCGTCTCCAGCCGGACTGACTTAATACAGTCAGAGATCGATTGAATTCCGGCTTGTATGGGTTCGTACACGACATTGTGGATATTCATAATGGATCATTCGTAATACGAAATGTCGCAATATCAAAAAAAGAATGTTAAATTTGTGTATAGAGGATCTATGATTCAGATAAGCGTCAGATTGGATTAAGTTGAGAGATACAGTCTGTAAATACATATCTGTAAAATAAAAGTTAGGATCGGTTCAGAAATCAGAAAAATTTAAGTAAAGATTTTTATAATAAAATATTTTTTCGCCGAAAAAAAAGATCAATCTGAAATTGTGCGATTACAGATTTCGCAGATAAAAGAAAAGAGCAGAATAAAATAGGCTATATACCGTGACAATGTTATTTCCAGCTGGCCGTAAAGTCTCCGAGTAAGTCTTCGGAAATCAACGAAAACTCACGAATAGACTTGGTGATCCACACGAAGGCGATGACGACGTTCCCATGGGCGTCCGATTCATTACCCATCCTGAATAAATGATTATCCACGGACGCGGATGGCTATCCATGGGAATGTTGGCCAGAGAATACTTCGGAAAAGTGATTATTCGTCGATTCTATGTCGTCCTCGGCGAAATCGACCCCCAAGGACATGCATCGTGCCTTGCTGAAGCAACCGTGGTATCGTGTATCTCCTTCGGTTGCATCATTGATGAGCAGGATCAACGAGTCCTCCACGCCCCTTCGGCATCTTAACTCTCGCTTCGTCGTGCGATGTTTTACGTGACGACAACGTTACGCTGACACTACAATATGAGTTAGATGATCATTAAATGCATAAAAATATCAATAAAAATCATGTGTTTAAAAAGTTTTTTTTATAAATAGCGTTTTGACATAAATATAAGAGATATGAAATAAATTGTATTTATGAAAAGGGACAAAGTTGAAACGCATAATAAAATATTATATCTCCATCCAAATACTAACCATGTCCAATGTTGCTTAACTTTGGTAATCGAATGATAAATGGTGTGTTGCAATGTGATTTGATCGTTGACGATAATTCCTAAGCTTTGTTTATTTCATCAAATTAAAAGATAAAGATATCGAGAAAAATTGTAATAATTATACAGCCATGTATAAAAAATTAAAACATCTAAAACATGTTTCTCATTAATTACTACAATAACCATTCCTCTCACATTTTATATTAATACTAGTTGAAAATATTTTTTTGTCAAGTTTATACTGCTTTACGTTTTACAGCATTAATTATCATTACTATTATTGAAGATTTCATTAAGTTAAAGATTTATCCAATCGAATGGATAAATAATCTGCCATTTCTCGATCCCAGTTTTTTCCACTCGCTCGCATTTATTACTCCCGCGAGTAACATCCTGTCGCCGGCAAATGGAAATATAATCATCCCTCGTCTTCTCCGCGATACCGTGCATAATTCCGCGATCGATCTCGCGTCGATGTCGCGGACCGTATCGCCGCTTGGACCACGTAGCAGCCGTAACTCAGTTTCCAAACGGATCGTCTCCCAGGAATACTTTATGCGTACTTCACGTCATTCCAACCGCCTAGACCAGAAAGATGGAAGTCGTCGTGGATGGAATGGTGTAGGGGCCGCGAAAGACACGGATCCTTAAGTATTCTACGCGTCGTGCGGGACTAGTGTATCGGTCTTAAGATGGCGGCGAGGGTGGAGGATTCGTCGGGGGTAGGAGGCTGCGCCGATACCCTTTCGCCGAGAGAGGAGACGTCGGTGGTAGGAGGTCCTCGAGTAATCATATAAAGATAGCTCTGGAGTCGCGAGGAAGGTCGAGTATCAACTTTTGATCCTACGATATCTCCGGCAGCCTAGTGGGCCCCTTCCAACTGTAGGAGCGTGTCTGTATTCAAACGGCTCTAACTCGATATAAGCGACGCTCCCAAAGGCATCCTTCCGCCGAGGAAAACGAGGAGGACTGAGTTGGAGGACACCAGATCCTCCCTACCGTGTCGCTCACGCCCACCCCTTTTGGATCTTCGGAAATAAGAGTATCCCGGTGTAGCCGGTGTCTCCAATCGAATTTACATCCCGACTGCTTCACCCCCATTCTGAAGGCGCGGGGGTGGATCCTTGACTTCGCCAAAGTGCCATCTGCTATGATCTTGCATGGATGGAAAGCCGCATAGCGACCACTAAAATGGCATCGTGGTCAACTATGATATTCTGAAACATATGCGACGAAATATCGAGTGGAGACTGATGGCTTCTGGCGGATAGTACCTCAGAGAATATCTGATATGATATGAATATAGAAATTTCTTACTTTGGAAAACTTGTCTGATACATTGAAACAAATATACGAAATGAGTTAGAAAACAATAATTCGTTAAGCGCATACGTATATGTTTATATCTGAAACAAAAAACAGTTATGATTAATTATGTGAAATAATAAAATAATTATATAAAAAATAGCACGAAATAATGTAAAATAAATATATGCTTTATAACTATTGCGCACATCAATAGATTAGAAATATATAATGAATCATATATAATATATAATCGATTCATTAAACCTTCAAAATGATTAAAATATTTGATTATTAAATTGTTGAAAATATAATATTAGTAGTATTAGTATAATAATGACAATAATTACTACAATAAGGATAACAATCTTTCAAATTAATTGTAAGATGTGTACAAAATAATAGATTTTATTTTACTAACGAGAAAAATTAAATCAATCTTTATATATTCACTTATTTTTCCAAAAATTTCTATTTTTGTTAGTATGATTGCGATATTAAATATCTATTTTATCACTCTAACGATAAAAGAGCAAGTTACATTGATAACAGGCGAATACTGTATTCTCTATGTTGTCAGTTGTCAGCCAAGCTTTATCATGGTATGATAAGGAAGAAAAAGTCTCCGAAAAAGATAAATAATATGCTTGTCAGCATATTAGGTGTTTGCCGAAATAATAAAAAGTATTGCAGAAATTTTAATACAAATATCTAACATGTAGAAAAGTGTCATCAAACTAATCTATAGTTAGCATTTTACGGTAATCTACTTTTAAACATACATTGGTTCTGATATAAGTTCTGATAAGCAGCTTTGTTCATAATAGATTTATTATAAAATTATATTTTTATAAAAAAAAATATATTGATGTCTTTATTAATGTATGAGATTATATTTATGTACATAATTATACTACCGAAAAAGATTCTAAATAGATTTATGTATAGATTTAAGGAATTTAAGATTTTTGTTATTGCAGGCAGAGGATGGAAGGACAATTAAGGATAATTAAAAATGTGCAAAATATTAAAACGAGAGTCAAGTATATTGTATCGTACTTTAATAATAGTCTCTCTTACTCAAGAGTACGCCATAGCGACTCGCGAGGATTTTCTTCTCGTACTTTTCCTCGCAATTTATATTACTATAAAATGGTTAGAAGCCACAGATTTTGCATTACATACCCTCGCGAGATTTCTCGCGACTCTCGAATATATTTGAAAAGATTATTAATTGCGCTGTTACTTTCGTCGATGAGAAGAAGCCAATCCGACGTAACGGATGTGCATTCTAAAACTTGATTGACTGCGGATGTATGCGGAAGAAAGCCCCCGAAATACAAAATATTAATAATCTTATATATCTTGACAATCTACAAGCAATAATACAATATTATGTATATTTAATTGTAGTAAACATAATTTTATACTAAACATGTTTAAAATAATAATACTTTATAAGTGTATACACATAATAATAATAAATTTTTATATGCAACAGTCTCTTACAAAGTTAGAAACAAAAAATTAGATTTTACAGAATATCTTAATTGATATATTAATCATAAGAATAAGATTCTAATTTCGTGGCTTTCTCCCACTTCGCATCTACTTAAAGATTGCTCCTTTTCTTCTTATCTATACCTAATAACATTAGTGATAATATCTCAATCATACCAACACTTTGCTATAGCGCGCCTTCTTAATGAAGATAAATAATCATTATCTTGAAGTGAAAAAAGGTACATCAATGAATGTCATCTGGTATCCGCCGCTGTTGATCAATCAACCATTAATGCACGGAGAAGAAAATGCCATCTGGTATAATCAATCATTTATTTTAGACACTTTCCAGCATAATAGAGATCTCCTCATTACGTCATTGAAATGAAAGATTCTTAACCTTTTTTTTGTAGCTGACGAAAATTATAATATGATGCACGGATTCTGCATGTACTTGACCTATACTACTTTAATTTTACGTGACATTTGTATAAAATCTATAGCTTTGTTTTTAGAGCGTTTTTCCAATGGAAAATTCGATCACTAAAGACAGTTATTGTATCTCCGGTGACGATTTCGCAGAGTTGTGCCTTTTTTCACACACATCTGAAAGGAAATTACATTATTTTCAGAAAGATTCTCTATTTTCATAATTTTAACCACGATGACAATAAATCGCGTATAGTTTAAGAAGAACACGAAACCTACTTGTTTAACGAATCAGAAGAATCTTGACGTTGCTGGCTAGGTCGTCATGACTATTTTTATTACGTTTACTATCGATGATATCTTGTCGCAAAACATGACCATAGTAAGATTACAGATTTCTGCAAAATTATAAAATTCTAAAAGACAAAAATAAAATTCTTAAAAGACAAAAATATCGCGCTCTATTTTGTTCTGATAATGAATTTCTCACATTTGCTTTTACGCAAGAATTCCATTGTTCCATGGCATATGGATATTTCTTTGGACGAGCAAGGACTAGATTTGTCTCATCTAGAACCTATAATACCACACGGACTATCTATAAATAATAGAGATAAAAATTAAATTAAATTGGAAACACAGAATTACGTGAGGAATAATTAACGCTTTAAATGCAATTAATAGTAATAGCACATTTAAATATCAAATTCGAAATGTTCGTATTTAATTAGGCATAATGAAAGTTTTATCAGACAAAATGCATAGAAATTGTACAATAGTAGCTTCTTCATCAATTATTAAACATCTTTCGCTTAAAATTTTTTTTCTAGAGGTATTCCTGTAAATAACTTAGAATTCAATTATTTTACTTTTTAAAAACCTTATAAATTACAAAATGTTTAAAAGATACAGTATTGTATAATTATATGATTTAAAAGACAGAATGCGATGATTCAATAAAACGCCACATGTTATTCAACAAACTAAAAATTTGATACACAGCCGAAAAGTTTTGCGAGCAGAATGTTTATCGCGCGGGTTCCTATAGATTAAATCTGGAAGTAAATATTTTACTCCAGTTTGGTATAAAATTTTGTCGGAGTGTTCGAATATATAGCGCAACGTTTTAATCAATATACACGCGAAAGTTTTCTTAACAATTCGATTATTTATCTGGCAAGCTTAGCAACGAGTTACATATTTGGCACTTGACCCTCTTCAAAATCCTGCTTCCGTATATTGTTAAGCTTTTTTTAATCTCTCCACGGTGAGAACGATGCTTGCTCTCATTCATGTCTCTCTAATTTGCGTCATTCAACTCGAAGTGCACAACGTAATTCAGGCCTAACACTTTGGTTATCGTTACATCACTTACAATTACAATTATATGCTACGAGAAGTGGTGTATATGTGTCCTCAATCTTCTGTATTTTATTACTTAATTGTTTCACGAAAACTATGCTTATATAACGATAAAAAATTTCCGACAATACATTGTTTTACATTGCAATCGCATTATATTTTCGCGCAATGCAAGTTCTGAAGATTGAGGAAACTTCTGCTCGTATATAAGCATATCTACTTATATCGTTACTCGCGCCTCCTTAACTCAACATGAAGAATTCTCGGTAGAAGAAGATTTACTCTTTAGAAGACTTAATCAGACACATAATCAACTGCATGACAGGTATGTAAAATCTATACATAATTTCGAGCAAATTCATTCCCACCACCTGGATCATCTCTTTTTATCTAGCTACGAGCACTTTACTGTTCCACAATCGCATTTCGCTAGACTCTTAAGTAAATATTAATAATAAAACATATAGTGTAAATATAATATGCACGTTTGTATACACACATACACACATGTATGTATATAATATAGAATTCATATACCGCGCATGTGTGGGCAATTCGATTAAATAGTATCGATACGTTTATCCCATGGATGATCAAACGCGGCACAGGCTAATTATTAATTAAGATATCCTATCGTAAATTTGGCGCTATTTGGCATAGTTTTATTTATCTAATTTTTGAACCGTACTTTCTCGTCGTTTCTAAACGCAATTTTCGAAAATTAAATTTTCAAAAATACAAACGTGAAAGTCGTTGTGTCACTAAAATAATATGGAATAAAAAAAATGATATGAAACATTTTCAAATAATAATACCAAAGATCAACTCTATAATCACTTACGTTATAAATTCGTCGATATTCATGATGTATTATTATTACGAAAGAATTATATTCGGATGTGTTTGGATGAAAATTTTTCTGCGAACACCACTTTTGCGTTTGTCCGATGTACACATGTTGAGCAAATAATCGTCCAATCGTTTAATTGTTAGATAAATTATTTGTCAAGCGAATGTATATTTGCATGAACTTTATGGAACAAAAAATAAACAATTCCATTTTCCCGTTATATGTTCGATTGCTGTGTAATATCGTTGCCGCTCTGTTTGCTCTCAGTCTCGCTGATTTCTGCTGATTTTAACGTGAATGTTGTATAATTGCCGAAAGAAGTCAACACGCCAATAATGTCATCTTCCTCTTCTAGAACATGTGGCAGAGCGGATTAACAGAGGGCCGATTTCGAAGTCTTTGTCTGCTGGTCGCCTGCTACTGTATGGAACACACAGTCAGATGATGCGACAGAGCGTGGTCCAATAAAATAGGAGTGCCTGCAGCCAATTCTGTACCGGCGTCGGCACAATCGTCTTCGCAGTTGAAATAGTTGCTCTGCACAAAGAAAATAGCGAATATCAGCATTGAGTTACAGTAGTACAATGTATTTAAGGCCGATTAGGATCTCAATCAAGCGATATTCCCCAGTGTACATAAAATAGGTTTTATAATATTCTAAAGTAGCTTTTTAATTTTAAATACTATAATTATTTTTTTTACTATATGCATAATAATATTATTATATTTTTTTATTTCAATATAATAAAAAAAAATGTTATTAAATCAATGTTTTCCTTATGTAATATGATTTTGAAATGTCTAACTAGTTTGAAAAAATTTAATTAATTATTCCTAGTTAATTTAAAAACTTAATTACTTAATTTCAACAAAAAATTTTACACAGCGCTGATCAAATTTAATTCAACGGTCTTGTTATTTTAATAGAATCATAATTTTCCAATTATAACGATATAAACTAACGAACCTAGAAGTGCAAACTAAAATAAAACAGCAAAAAGTTTTATTCCACGACGAATAATCCGTAACAGAGCTATCCAATTAATACGCAAACTAGCTAGTATCGACTTTATTTGCTTGTATATTGTCGTGTATTGTTTTGTTGTGTCTGCAGCTATCACGTGCGCGGTATAATTGGTTTAAAAAAATAAACTGTATGAATTTTAATTGAATTTACATTTAACATTTCTCAGTTAATAATTCAAGCAGAGAATTCTTAATTGTCAACTTGCAAAATGGCTGAAATAAAATGTTTCTAATCAAATGCAACGAACCGTGTACCAATGTAAAAAAGTCTAACTTTGCAGGCGGAGCAACAACTACAATATATTACTAAAGTATCTTGCCGAGTTTGTTCCGTGACTTTGTTAACTATGAAAAATTATGACATTGTAACTTCAAGTACATTTCACTCTAAAAAAAATCTTAAGATTTAAGATTTAAGAATTATTGAGAAATTCTTAAAATTAAACATTGTGATAAAATGTGTATTGATCGTTTTAATCGTGAATAATTACCTGGCAATCGATACATCGGCAACTATCGGTTAGTGAGCAAGTGAGGCCAAGAATCTCGACCGCCTCTTTATAGAGTTCTGCGCTTGACTTCCGTCGTCTTGGTGGCGACGTTGGTGCGCTGACTGTGCCGTTGCCCGATGATCTTCTGCCGCCCTTCAGCCTCGACGAGGAATCTCGAGATAAGGAGGAGGTTGACGTTGATCCCCTTGGCCGATTGTCGCTCGTGAGCAACGCTCGACCTGCCGGAGACGCGAACAGTTGCAGCATATCCATGTCCTACAATCATAATTCGCTAATTAGTGAAAATGCTATTCATATGGTATCGCGTATAAGTTATACATTTAAATTCAGAGCACACACGCAATTGACGGTTAATAAAAAGTGGTGGTATCACTTATTTACATTTTATTATCAAAATTCATATAAATGATTTATAAAGAAAGTATTTTACATGTCAAAGATACATAACATATTGTCTTTTTTATCATTATTTTTAGATAATGTAAAATCCTATTATATTCGCGTTCCTCTCTCGGAAATTTAAAAGACGGCGGTTAAGCTTTATTATACAAGGCACAATGTAATTTTGAATTACCCGGATAATGTCCAACGGGGCATATTAAAAACGGTGCTTGTTATAGAACCAAAGGGGTTCCGTCCGTCTAACAAGATAACACCCTCTCACGAAAATCTCCTTTTCCGGAATCTCATTCGTTACGGATCGTCGAGAACCTCATTCATGACGCGCCCTCAGGCGAAAGACTTTTCTAACAACGGCGAATGTACCACGAGTATTATGACAACGAGAAACGTGCAGCAAATCTCCGAGACGGTAGAAATACTCCCGGATATGTGTTATTAAAATTGTTACATTCTAAATGCAATGTTCGTGAATATTATCTCCCAGCATTTTCTGCAGCAAAAAATATTACGATATCCTTTCGTATTTTTAATTTTCGAAACGTGGGAGCATATTATTAAAATTGCCCGGTTATACAAATTTCTTCGTGTTGAAATTTTATTTTTTAATAGTACTCTCTGTCTCTCGCGACGAATATATCCGCATAAAAATGTAGGACATTCTGTGGCAGTTTTACATTGCAGTTTCATCTTTTTGCAGTATAAAGCATATTTCGAAACCAAAGTATATGAGTATAGACGCGTTATTAAAAGTGTGGAACTATATGTCACAACACTCGTCTGCGAATTTTACTTTGTAAGGCTGCTTCTAATGATCAAACTTCCATATTTGAAAAAATATTTTAGTCGCAGCCTGAACTCGTTCCTTACAGTCAGAGGCAAACTGCAAGCATATCATTAAAAATATGGAACAACGTATCTTTTATCATTTTTTATGAGGGAAAACTTCTCACGCGCAAGACAACAATACTAAAAACCCAACCACAGATTCAGATGATGATGATATTTAAAGAACAGCTTACTTAATTGCGTGCAGATCATTAAAAATCGGTCGCTGAAATGAGTGTGTTCGAGTAATAAACCCGCTTTCATATTGCCCATCCCCGAATCCTTCCACCGGAAGAAAATAATTGGAATCGAATAATTGGATTCAACTTGAGAAATTAGAGAAGTTCGGGTAAAGATATCTCAATTTCCGCCTTGCGCGTGAATTTTCTGCTTTTACCTAACTTTATAACTTTGGCATCAATACCATTCCATAAGTACGTCGAAAAAACAGTAATTATACTTCGCACTCTCCGCTATTGTCTGGCTAGCCAAAAGCTGGCTTACGTCATATTTTCGTTAAGAAGCCTTTTTTCATCAAGTTTGCTGAAAATCTCATTGAGACTTGTTGCGATCAGCGAAATCAGGACGGAAGCCACGAGGTTTTAAAAGCACTCTCTCCGCAGTGCAGACTGACAGCTTTGCAAACTGCAACTATACACTGTGAACTTTTGCTAAAATGCAAGATGCGCTCTTAGCGAGTGCAGCAAGCTTCGTCTACGAGCGCAGTCGAAACGGCTTAAGCTCCACGTTTAATGTATCTCAACCAACATTTAGAATGGTTTCAAGGAGGGAAATGAAACTCCCTGGAAAAGTCAGCGAGATACCATATTCGATGCAACTAGGATTTGTTAAATAATCTCGTATTATTCCGGATTGTGGAAAATATAACTATCACAGGCGAACACAATAAATTCTTACAACAATTCAATACTGGTAAGATGTTTAGATGAAATTATCATCGATTGCAAATTGTCTCATAGATACGTCATCATCAATATTAATTATTAAGATCATGTAACTTCAAGTGCAAAAAAGCATAAAAAATGTGTCAGCATATTTTTTCTTTTTTACTCTTTTTTTAATATATATGTATATATAAAATAAAAATTATAGAAATATATATTACATAAATATCAAAACAATATTAAAGAGCACTATAAATTCATATAAATATAAATTTGATTCAATAAATAAACGCATCATAGACTTTGACACCAACTGGCTTTCAATTACTGTTCTAATTAATAGTGATCGAACTGCATCCTGCCAGAAAGTTCACGGTGAAATACAGGAGAGAGTCACTTGAGTGACTCCTTTGTCGGCAGGAAGTGCATCTTGTCTTCTTGTTGAGTATCCCATTGAGAGAGATGCGGTTAGCACAATTTTAACGAAAATGTCGGTACATTAATGTCACCAGAAACTTTGATAAAAGCGTATAATTATCGTTCAGCATTGTTTATTGTTCAACAATATCATAATTTAATCTATTGTAAAATATTTTGTATTAATATCTCAATGCAGCAAAACAGAGAGATACGTCATATCTATCTGATAAGTTTTATATCTCATTCATCTTGCAATAATTATACAAAGTAATAAATTTTTTCAGTTGGATATATTCAGGCATAGAAAATGCAGAATTTTATCATATATTTATTTAATGTGACGTGAATTTCTGATAATAACTTTCATGAAAACAAACATATAATTGATTCGCGACAAATAATCTAACTGCATTCAAAGTTTACCATATTTGGGAAAATTTGTCGAATAAAGAGAAATGCGAAATATTACTCGGAAATTTTTGCGCTGAGATTTAAGACCATAAAAATAACACAAAAATAAGTACTTTTTACGCGCTCACGCAAGTTTCTCACGCCCACCTTTAATATTATCTACTATAAAAAAGAAATAAAAAGCCATCCCCTTGGAGAAAGCATCCTTAACCCTTTACCGCCACCAAGTCTCCATCTCGTGCGATTATATTCCGGGAAGAAAAGCTTTCTTTTCGGCCGTAAAGCCATTTTTCTTTTCACGGCGACGACGGCCAATTTTTATCTTATCGTGTTCAAGAACGACGCCTAAAGGAAACGTCATCTTCAGGATAGCTGACAGCAGACGAAAGAAGTCGATGGCAAATGACAAAGAGATCAAATGGGAGACGATAACAAGCACCAAGCTGATTCGATGTACCAAATGTACAGGAGAAGACAGGGGATCCCAGGCTAGTCCCTCGGGACGCATATCCCATCTATGTATTTTCAGCCGCGCGTGAACTTTCCTCGTATCCTTCAACGCTGATAGATAACCCGGTCGAAAGGGCGGGCTTACATAGAACTACTGACGAAGAATTTTTGCCATGAGAAATCGAATTCTACGAAAGAAGTTCACGTGTGTTGCGGCAAAATAATTTTTATTTGATGTTAAAAAATATAGTCAAGAGATAGTCTGCGATATATTATTCACTATATTTCTTTTTACAAGATCGAGTGGAGAAACATCCTGTTGGAGTAAAGCCATAGATATATTGGAATAACCATAGAATCTCTCAAATAAATAACATATTATACAAAGAATTGATTTTTTTCAACAAATCTTTTTAAAAATATTTTTGAAATCCCAATTCTCTTATTAATAAGCAAAATATTATTCTTATTCATTCATTTTACAACGCCAATTATCGATTAATAAAATATTTATCTCATTGAAAAAGGTCATTATTTGCTAGAATCGATCGTTTGGTGATATGGAGATTAAATTTCGTGCAAATTTCCGCTTTGGTTAATTAACTTCAAGTATTGATTGGATGTAAACAGTTGACGGGTGGAAAATCAGATAAAGCAAGAGTAATACAAGAGAATTTAACAATCGATAGTTCATAACGGTGACCAATCCGATTTACCTCGGCTAACTTAATTATCCACAAATCGTTCTAATAACTTGCAACTATCAACCGATATACAATAAATCCACAAATCAAAAACTATGCTAATTTTAACTAAAAAGAGGAAGCCAGGAAGTTTGAAAAATGGAACAAAATCATTATTGTATAATAATATAAAAAACTGAAATTAATTTTTTATTTATTTATTTTTATTAATTTATAAGCTTGCTAAATTTAAATTTGTAATTTTTTATTATAACACACCAATTAAATATTAACTAGTATTGCAGTTATTATTATATAACTATTTTAATAAATATATTTACTGTAATTCAGAAAAAAGGCTTTTTAATTTATAAAGAAAGAGAATGAAAAAATAGGATTTTATACTTTCGTTTCTTAATTAATCAATCTTACGTATTAATGAACATATTAAAAATGAAAATTTTAATATTGTATAATAAAAATGTGATAGCTCCTGTATAAATCTACAATAATAGCTTTTCGATAAAACTTCCTGTCGTATGTTTTTATTAACGTACATCAGTTTTCTAAATATCGAATCGATGCTGTTATATCAACATTATATCGCATAAAGCTATCTCTCTTATCAGAGATTATATAATTTATGGAGCGCATTTCAAATGTGCCGCATTATTTTGCGATTTTATTCCCTTCTGTGTCAACAGTAAATATTTCCCGTGCAGTGCAATGTAATGTCATTAAATAGTAAATGCGCCTCATTTTCTGTAGCTCGCGTACGGGCTTTTTCGGTCTTTTCTTCAGAATTATCGTTTATCATTCTCTACTAGAGGATCAACGATAATACAATACAAATACTCCTGCTCGCTCAACAGCACAATGTTCATCCTCTCCCTTTCCTTTCTACGTTCGTTAATACCCTTCATTGTAACCCCGTTGTCAACAGAAACCATCGAGAGGAAGCTGCCGCTAATGAAGAGAGTCCAGCTAATTAAGTTAATTAATACCGACAGGAACTGTGGGAAACTTTCGATAAAGGGACGGAGACAAAAGGAGAGTTCGGTAAAAGCTCGTACATAGGAGAGACACACACGACGATTTACGAAACAGGATAATTACGCCCGTTTCATCACGCCGATGGACGAGTAATGGGAGAACGTTATTAGTCTGGAATTTTTAGCCGATTAATACCGCGGGTCGGCATCATGCGTTTACGCGATCAAATTAATAAAGTTCGCGCATGGCAAATCCGTTTTTATTGAAACCGAAGTTTTTATTAACCCTCCTTAAACCGAGTCTGCACGTATCTCGCACGTATCTCGTTGACGGTGATCCGCCTCCTTTGTACTCCACGGAAGCGACAATTGTCACGTGCGAATGGCGTAGGTATTATCTGCGATTCTGCTAGATCGTTGACAATAATTTATGAGAAAATTCTAGCAGATCTATCAACGATTATATTTGATTAAAATATATCGTCCATCACAATGATTTTTACTTTATTTATAGAGAATTACTAATATATATTTCTGTCTCTCAACGAAGAAATAGATGCTATGTATATATCATAAATTTATATGAAACATTTCATGTATATAAAACACTCTAATACAAATATATATGAGATAACGAACAAGACAACGTACGCGTTCTATAAAAATATATCGAAACAAATCTGTTTCGATATATTTTTATAGAACGCGTAAAAATAGCGCGCGTAACAATGCATGAAAAGAATTTTATTTGATACGGATACAATATTCACTTAATTAATGCATTTTTCTACGCTTCGATGCAAATCGTGTAAATTACAAATCACGTTTATTTCTTTTTATTTTTTTGTACCGGCATATATATATGCGTGTCTCGATAATTGCAGTAACTTGCGCGCGAACATCTTCGCATCGCATCAATAATTTTGCACTAATTAATGCAATGAATTTACTAAAGTTGCTGCGCAAATCCAAACAAATAAACTTTTATCGGCAACAAAATATTTCTATCCTGAATAACAACACGTTTAGCTATTCTTTTGCAACATCTACGGAACATTCCCGAATGTATTGTCATCACATTTGTTAATATCGCTATTGCCAATAGATTGTTCGAATAATAATAAAATACATATCGTTGATACAATCGCGCCGATCGAGTTCGTATCAATTTACGCGCTACGTCATTATGTGTGGCCGCGATTATGATAGGCATTGTTTTCGCGGCGATTATTACGATTATTGTTTTCGCGAGGAATACGAACAACGCGCTATGAAATAACGTATAAATATTTTAATAATGTTTATAATAATATCCCTCGTAATATATTAAATAATTTAAACTAACTTTATGTTGTTTCAATATAATTATTGTAACAAATATATGTATATCAAGATTGATTATAAAATAAATAAAGTAAAAAAAGTGTGTATCGGAAATATTTTTTTATATCTATGTATATTTCTTTTTTCGAGTATTTGTTAAGAAGGTTTTTTTTTGTAGAAGTTATATTAATTTATACGTGTAATAGAAAGAAATGTCACAGTTAAATAATTTTATTTATAGTATATTATTTAATCAAAAATGTGTGTGAAATTATATATTCATATCATGTTTCAAATATATATATATCATTTTATGTTATATTATGTTTCAAATATATATATTTATTTCAATTTATTCACTGCATGAATAATTACAATTTTTTTACGTTCAATGTGATGAGTAGTTTAATTTAATAATAAAGATTTATATCAGCAATAAACTATGCGTTTACATTGGTCATAATAATTATTCCTGCTCCATGTATATATGACAGTAATAAATATTATCTATGAATAACTACATCCATACAAGTCTACATAATAATTTCTAAACTGATTTGTATGCATAAACTGTTCTAGGGAGAATAGTTATTTAATAACAATATAGCTATTTATCAATAAATTCGAAGAATATAAATAAGATTCACAGTCTTATTACATGGATAATTTTAAAAATAGAAACCGATTATACATACTTTGATCTAATTAGTAACAGTATCAACGTGTTTCTTTTCGTCAAATTTAATTATAATTTAATTGTAATTTGATTTAATAAATCGTAATTGAATATTATTCCTGTCGATCCATGAAATCTTACGTAAAATCAGAAAATTACGATTAAACGATTGTTTGATTAATTACGTCATGAGTATTCGATTAATCGGTTATCGAGATTGAAATTCATGTTATTATGCATAGTACAATACAGAGTTTGGCTATGCAATTATGGTAATAATTGATGAATCTAATCGTGAATCTCATATCCATTAGAACGTGGAATAATAGTTGCCAAATAATTGCTTAGTTTGCAGATATAAATCACGTAAAAGATTGGAATTTCTCTAATTACATGTACAAATCATCGCATTTTCAAATAAATAGTTTTTATCGTTATATGTAATTAATCTTACGATTAGGTGAAAGTAATATTGACGACAGTACACTTGAACAGTATGTGTACACTGTTATCTAATCTGCTTACCATTTCGACTATAGGATTTTACATTATCACTAACAGACAATAACAGTTACGGCAAACGGTGCGTTCTGCGACGTTTGCGGTTAATGGTCTAATTATATATTGCATTACACGCATTCGCGATAGCTTGTTTGCCAAGTTGATTTTCCTCAAATATGTGGACATCGTAAGTTAAGCCGTAACACAATCGTTCCATACAAAGAAAGAAAACGATTTGACCCAAAAATAGTACAATTAATACTATTAAACATCTAAATATAATTAATTATTTTTTTGCTTGCTTTATTTATCTTATCAATACGCACATTTTAAAGAAATGACAATCAGCAAAACAATACATATCAGTGCACGATTCACATTATTTAAATTATAAGGATCTATAAAAGGAAACGTCTCCTCGCGAAGCGGATCATGAACGGATCGCAATAACAGGTGTGGCTAAGCGGCTCATTACACGCCAAATTACCGTACTCACCGGCAAGGACTCGGGCGTGTGGTCCAGCACGTATATGCCGTTAGTGTATCCATACAGCATCGTGTCCAGATCTGAAACCCAAGGAGAGCGAGCAGAGCATTAAATTGGGTCTAATCAGTTGCGAACCGTGCGGCACACACTAATACCGGTAATACGCGCACTCACGGCTGCGTCACCGCAGCATTCTAATTTACGCTGAATGCAGCGCAATACAGAGAAGAGAAATTCCCTAATACGGTCGGAACGAGAACATGTCCTCAAATCCCTCCCTCTGTCTATCCCTCCCCTTACAGTCGTAACCGCTTGAATTTCCTTTAGGACTTATCGAGTCGCTTTAACATCATTCCACGACGAACATTGCGTCGAACTTGATTCAGCATTTACGTACTTAAAACTTTCTTAATACTATGGTGCTTATATTGTGCTGTACTGCATTATAAATTATGCTCTGTATGTTTTGATTTGTGGATATTTTGTAGCTTTGTTTGTTTGTTTCCTGAAATTGGAGAATATCTGTTTTTAAGTAAATAATCAACATTTTTATCAGACGTGAGTAGATAATATAAATCATGTGTCAGCCAAACAGTAGTTACATATGTATAATCATATAGAAACAAAAAATTTAATACGTAATTTTTCTATCGTATACTATTTAATTTCTTTTGAATGTCATTATCAATTATATACTTTTAATCAATCATGAATATGATTCTCAGGCAAAATAATTTATCTTAAAAAAAAAACTTGTACGAACGTAATTTACCGCAGCAGCAACGTCCATTGTAAATAACGCTTGACGTAATAGCCATCAAAGAGCTAACGAGTTTTCCCGCATTGATGTTTGCTGCTTCGATAGAAAAAATTATTATCGGGTAAAATGAAAATAATTGAGCAAAGGCAAAAAAATCGCGGATGTTATAACACGTCCACGAAAAATTTAATAGCTAGACAGAGATCGATTGCACCGCCAGAGAATTAATCCGCTAGTACAAAATTCACTGATCCGTGAATACCACGCACGAATTCGATCGGCAAATTTACGATATTAATGATTTCCCGTTTTGCGGTTACAGCGTATTAAGTGATAGTATAGTTGAACGATAATGTCAAAAGCGTGCGTATTATTTAATATTTGCTATATACATATTTATAAAACATTGTTACCTTATAATTAAAATAAATATGATTATTCTATTATTATTATTATTAAATTAATTATTCTTATCTTTTAAGTCGTAATATCATAAGTTCTATGATCAATTAATCGAAATAAAATCGTAAATACTTTCTGTCTGACCATTGGAGGTGTTTTCTCCTTCCACGACTCTACGCTGCTACTCATTGTCAGACGCATTTTTCGAAAGAATCGTCACTGAATTTCATAAGCGACATCCTGAAAGGATTGCTGAATGGTCCAACAAATGTATTTATGGTGCTGTACATATTCTATCGACAATTTATGAGATGTGTTGAATGTGACGAGGCCATATAAAATTATTGCGTGATATTCCACTGATGCACGTACTTCGGGCCTTGATAGCGATTCATTTCGATATAAAAAGTCTTGACCTCGTCTGCATCACGCATCTGCATATCTCCCGCATCGCCAGACGATAATCAATCGAGTCATAAAGCTATCCAGCGACGCCTGTCCAACGACTGGCCGATTGCCGATGGACTTGCTGTCTCCGCTATCTTCGCCAAAGGATATACGGCACTTCACGTCGCTCCGGTGATTCGGCGAGAATTTCAATTTGCGAGGGCGGTATTGCACCGCTAAAAGGACGCCCATAGTAAACGCGAGGGGTCACTTTGAGGCCATCGAACGCTCTGAGCTAACAGAATTTGCTGCGGCACTTTACGTCGCCTTCAGTACGAAGACCAAAGTATATAGAGTATAAATTTATATACGAAAAACAAAAACTTAAAATTTATTTAACATTTTTTCCTCAAAGAGAAGAGAAGATAAGAATTTAGAGAAATATATATAATAAATTCGTTGCTATATTGCATGAAACAATATATTTGCAAGACTAATGATTCTTGATTTAAAACCAATTTATCCGACCACGACGGAAAGCATGATGGCATGTAATAAAATAGTACGTTCTGCGCGATAAAGAGCGCGATTAATACATGAATTGAAAACCGTGAATAAGCATAATCGTAAATCGGCGTCAACGATCGATTCGAAATTCGGTTTCACGACGAGGATGTTTAATCGCGCGAATGGAACGCGTGATAAACGTTACATTGCGCATATTCAACAATAGAGAGATTGGAATAGAACGATAGAGAGATAGATTGTTTCTGACTAGTCTATACTCGGCTCGTCCGAAAGCTTCGACCGAAACTTTCCGGTTGACCGGAAACCGATTACCGCAAAGTGTCGCTGCGAAAAATTTTAATTGATCCTTACGATGTCGTCATTCGAATAGACAATATTGTCACAGTCAACAATGATATTTATTGCATACAACCATGCGATGAAAACTATTATACATTATAATATCGCCTCCTTAAAGAGATTGTTTAGAATAAATTCACGGTAAATTAATAATACAAATGTTTTACAATAACAATTTATATATAAGGCCTTATCTTCTTTATACTTCGCGATATATAGCTTGACTGGAGGAATGTATCGCGTTATACTGTCTGCCCAGACGGCGAGAAATAGCGAAAGAGGCGGAAATACAAAGCTGCGGTGCATACGGTGGTGCGCCGAATTGCACCCATAAACCGCATCGCCGTTGCATACCGCAAATATCGAAATTGTTTCGCGCTACTGATATATGCCTCTCCACCTCTCATATTCTTCGCGCATCGCGGGTATCGTAATTGGCTATAACTGTTATGGCCACCGGTTACGGCCTCGTTTTCCTTGCGCTATGTTAGCTAATGCATTTACGTAATAATGCACTAAAAACTGTCCAAGCAATGTAAATTATTGCATTTGAAATATTTCGCGAAAATTATATCTCGAGCTGATAATCGTGCACTCTTTTGGCGAAGAAACGTTGAAGATTTATCTATCACGAGAGAGGATAAAACTAGATTTTTATTCCAAAGATCGATCATTTGTCTCGGGAAAGGATACTGTGAACGATCGTAAGGTCTATAATATACAGCTGCAGTCTGCAAGGATGTATCGTGAATGCATCGCAAGTAACCTGAGCCCAACGTCGAGCCAAACCTGACAAATCTCCTTGTGTTACATGATGGACGACGGATGCAGAACGACCGAAGCCAATTCTCCGCGTGCTCCGTCACGCGTGTGCTCCCATTTTTACGCGAGACATATACGTTCTATATTTGAAATACTTGGCTTTGACCAATTTTTAACGCACGAGAGCCGCGCTCGGGGAATATAGTGAATTGCAACGGAACACTTGTGCATTTGATACGGTATAGCATGTTCGTAAAAAATAGAATGAATCGTTCGTGTTTGCGACAGAAATCGAAAATTGACCCCTTTTATCAAGTTATTTAAAAAATTCCGCTAGAGAAAGAGAGAAATTGTTGAATTCATGTGTGCGGGATTTCTATTGTCTTCTGGATTTTTTTTTTAAATAAAAAAAAATAGATAGAAAAGAAAAAAAGATAAAACAATAGATCAACATTCGAGAAAATATATTGCGAATAATCTCGCCCGTGAAATAAAAAAAGGCAAATAAATGGAAATTCTAGGCTAAAATAAAAAAGAAAGTTCTTTGTTTTACTTCCTCGCGTAAAATCCTCAAATAGCTCTACTTTAAAGAGTTATGGATAT